TGAATTACCAATTTTTTTTCATTGAATTTGTATAGAAGTTTGAATAGTGACTAAGCGGTCAGTTCTCATGGCAGCTAGTAGGAAAAGCATCATAAAAGTTTCAGGAAAAAAAACCTGCACCAAAATCTCATTCATCTTCACAAGGCTCTTGAGATGAGCTCTGCTCCCTCCTAGGACCCAGCGGAACCTAATTTCCCAGTTGACCGGGGGCTTATCAGAGGCTGGTAGAGAAAATCCACAGAGCAACGCACTGGGGCCAGCGGCCTCGCTCTTCCCCTGTGTTGCCTGCCAAAGAAAAGGTGAAAATGCTTTTTCCACCCTGTTAAATCAGTGTTAAAATACTGATACTTCTCCAGTCCTAGCCTTCCCAAAACAAGTTCAATTAACACATCTTACAACTGAGCTTTGGACACTTATTTTAGTGTTGTGGTTTAAATCCATTGTATTAAAAGTAATTTTTTGAGTAAGTCATTTTCCCTCTACTGTTGCCTTTGTTTCCCCATCTGAATACGGAAACTAATGAGATTTTCTTTCATTTAAAATTCTCTTAAGTCCGAGCATAAGGCATACTGTGGTAGAAACACTAAATGTCTGGGGTTTTTACATAGAAAAAGTGTTTATGTAACACACAGCTTTTAAATAGCTTGATAAATCCAATACTTGATGGGACTGTGACCATGCATGAAAAGTTTCAATCCGTACAGGGAGAAAAAGATAAATAAAGACGACTGTAAATGGAAGCTCTTTCGCATCTTAACTACATGGTATTATCATCAATCACTGAAACCTTCTTCCTGTGTAATCTCACTTTTTTTCCACACCCAGTTGGTCAGTGATATTGTAATTTCAGCATTTATAGCCTTACTTTTTGTTGTTATTGTTGTTGCCTGTTAGGATATTGCAACAGTGACAGCAAGGAGTGAATAAAGCAAGTGAAACCAGGTTACTTCTTAATACTCATATATTCTCAGAGAGGTGATGGAAACCATATAATTTAAGTTATTTATAATGTGAACTGACAAAAAATTGGAAAAGAGATGACAATATAGTACAAAAAGAGTTTTTCTTCCCTAATTTCTATTGTTATATTTGAACTATCCCTTGTTCTATCTTTTTGCAATTCAGAGGCCAGTTTAGGAAAAAATGTGATCTTTATTTTGTGCAAAGGGCTGTGTGTGGGTGTATATATGTCTGTGTATTATTTTTTTTTATATATAGATAGATATATAATGTAAATGTATAAGTTATCCATTGCTGTGATGCCATTACACATGGTATTTAACACTCGCATTTACTACCAGTCCTCAAATAATTTTTATTAACTTTTTTGTAAAGGGCTCATGTTCAACTGCAAGTTACAAATTTGGAAGAGCACAAAAATTCATTAGCGCAGAGGTCAGGTGTGCAAAAACCTTGAAATTTCGCAATGAGTCCCTGACCTGGCTTCTGAAATGGTTAGAAATAAGATATTTTGGGTAGATGTTTACTTTCCCACTTTTGCTTTAAGCTAGACAGTCATCAATTATTTTGTAAGTCAGGGATGAATTTCTGGTGTCATTTTTTCCAATTTTCTCTTTCATGATTGTGACTAAAAAGCCTTCTATTCTTGTGTTATTTTCTATTATTTGAACTCCACAACTTTCTAGTTTTTGATACGTGAAAATAATTAGATGATGATTGGATAAATAATGCATCTGAAAACAGAGCAGAGCTGCAAAAATAACAGATGAAAATTACCCTGTTAGTGTAATAAGACTGAAATATATTTTTCCACCTGGGTAGGGTCCTGAGCTAAAGTTATCTTGTTAGCCCTTTTCTCAGGGAAGAGAAATCTTGTTGTGCAGAATGAAACTGAAATAGTGACAGGGAAAAACGCAGTTGCTCTCTGCACCTTTTCAGTAGCAGAAACAAGAAGAAAATAGGGGAGTAATGGAAACAGATATCTCTTGGTGTTGGAGGAATTTTTAGCACTGATGGTGTACAAGAGGAGACTCCTATGGGCTGTGAGACCAAAATCTAGTGCAGTGATGATAAGATGTTGTAACAAACAGCAAAAAGCCACCAATACTGTTATGTTCGTATATCTCTGTCAGATGGAGCAGCTGCTACATATGTCTCCCGGAGTAGCAGCTTAGTAAATGCACTGAATCGCGTTTTGAATCTCTCGTCCCTGCCTTTCTAGGGAAATGAGTTAAGGACACGTAGAGGAACAATGGAAATAATCTTTTTCTCAGAGAAAAAGTAGCTTAATTCAAACCAGTGTTGAAAAACAGATAAAATAAGGTTTAGGCTGTTATACACAGAGACATTTAGGTAGTAGTCTGTATATCAGTGGCAATTTAGTCTGAAAATAGTGTTTATTAACCGCAATACGTTAGATTTGAAAAATTAAGCAATATGAAGATAAGAGACGCTTTACCCTGGATGATGATGTCAAGCTTGGTAAATGCCAAAAATGCAAATGGAAAGGCAAATCTATGGGAACAGACAGCACGCCAGGCAGGACAAGGCAGGAGAGAGAGCAGGCAGAACACCAACAGAAGAGACCTATGGAAAGACAAAAATTGGCTCGCTCTTTGAAAAAACTAAGACAGAAAAGTAATGTAGAATTAAAGTTCTGGATTAGGAAGCTACTTTCTCCCTTTGGATCTGAAAGTAAAATTAATATCTGTGTCTCCTTTGAGTATAGAGGTCAGTTATAGAGCTTTATTCAGATGGTGGAGTTTGATAGACATAACTTAAATATGAAGTGTAAGTACATGAAAAGAGTACATGTAATTCTCACAGTATATGAACTGTGGTTTTTTGTTTGGTGGTTTGTTTGGGTTTTTTTACAAACCTTTTCTTCTTCTTCTACCAGATGAAGTGCCTACGTGCCCATAGGCACTGCAGAAAAACTATTGTACTTTTTTCCAATTTTAGTGAGTTTTATTTGCCCTTAGGATTTCTATAGAGTAGGCATATTTGAATTAAAACAATATTATCATAGTGGTATAAGTGAACAGAAGTGTTAGTATGGCACCTATAGCTATAAAGGTTATTTTGTGGTGACACAGTTCTCCTAGCATACAATAACAAAACCACAATTTCATAGAATCATAGAATAGTTTGGGTTGGAAGGGACATCTAAAGGTCATCTAGTCCAACCCCCTGCCATAAATTCACTTTGGAGCAAGAGGAAATACTAAAATAAAATCTTTATAAGTTGCAGTACTTACCTCACTTGCTACTGAAATGCAGCTGTTTCTGGGGATGTAGTATAGCTCTGCAAATACCCTGGAACAGTTTACGATAAGTTTGAGAATAACTTATTGTAGTGAGATAAGTAGAATGAAAATACCAACGTGCACAAGGATACCTTGGTTTGTCCAAAGTACACTGGGTTGGAGAATAACTATAAGGGATTCATGTAATGTGTCCTCCAGAAAACTATACCAGAGCATTATTTAGACACTGCTTTTTATTTATTTAAAACTATTTCATTTTATTTTATTGGGGGGCCCCCATTTAAAAAGCATTAAAAAGGCCTGACCATGCCTTGGTGATGTCCATCTGAAGCAAATCATGAACAAATAGTAATGAACTCTAGCCTCACTATGTGAACTTAAAAAAAAAAAAAAAAAAAAAAGTTGCAATTGCTTATATTTAAGAGTGGATATTACTTCTGTCCCAGCTTGGAAAGTGTTTCCTTCAGATGATATGTAATAGCTTTTTCTTTTTTTTCTGTATATTTTTATAATGTTGTTTAAAAATTTAATTTCTAGTCCACTGAGAATCAGTAGCATCTATTCCTTTCTATTGCAATCTAGCTTGTTAATTTGATAAAGAGTCTGTCAGCATTTCTTTTGCATATTTTGTTCCTTTGTGTGCTTTAAAAAACTCCTGCTACACTGTATATTATTCAACCATTTGTGGCTTGAAACATTGCCTAAATGCTAGCTTATGTTTCCCCATTTTCAGGCCGTAGCTTTTTGTCTGACAACTCAAGTCTTGCAGCAATAACATCGAGTTCCTGCTATGCTTAGAAAAACACCACCCATTTAAAAATATCATCTGCCACCATTTTATTGCACAATGGATAGATCTACTTTGGAGGGTTGCAATGTTTTGTTTGACTTGCTAGCTGCTTTTTAGACATGAGGTTTTTATATAAATTCCAAAATGCTTTTGCCTTTCACGGCTGATCACTTTTTGGAAAAGTCAGAGTGGAAGGTTTCTGGCTGACTTCCACGTGTAGAAGAGCTTTCAAAAAGTCCTTTCTGCATGTGCTCATTGTACTAATATTACGCCAAAGTTTTTAGAGACTTCACTGCTTGGAAGTAGTATCTCTGTTCTGTCACCAGTCTTATCTGTTAAATCCCAATGAGTGTGAAAAACGAGAAAAATCTGGGTTTGCTTGGCTGTTTCAACAGTATGTTGATAATGGCCAGATTGCTGGAGAAGGCGATTCTCTTGGAAACCTCAACAGCCCAGCCTCCTCATCTGTAGGCACATAGAGCTCATCTGAGTGTGTAAATAAAAATAAATAATGCAGTGAAAAAATATGCAGAGTATTTTGCTGAAGTGTTTCAGTTTTGGATCTGCCATAACTAATTTAAATCTTTTGTTGGGATTTATGCAGGCAAGGGGTCAGGTTTAAGATGCTTGTACTTCAAAAGCTTTCCTGCTACTATACCTTTTCTACTTTTATATCCTATCATGATACCTTTTTTCTGCAAAGGAAGTCCCTTTTATTCCCTCTTCCTTTCCTGCTTTGAAGAGAACATTTGCTTCTCCATTTATCTGAGGTAATGAGACCAGAGTAGCTCTGGATTCTTTAAATCAGTCTAATTGGGCTTCTTTTGGTGTATAGAATATGCTTTTTTTGCACAGGACTTTCATTTCTTTGTGCAGTCTCTCCATCTCCAGCACTCAATATCTTACATGCTTTTTTAATTAAAAAAAAAAAAAAGGCAAGCAATTGTCATCCAAATGACTGTGGTCTCTGTTCTCTATTCCAGGCTGATTCACGGAGGGCAGCTGTTAAATGGCTTGGCGGGGCCAACTGTGATGAACGCGGCACCGTTTCTTTCCACGACGTGGTTTTCTCCAGACGAACGTGCCACAGCAACAGCCATTGCGTCGCTGCTCAATTACCTGGGCGCTGCTGGCGCGTTTCTAGTGGGACCTCTTGTAGTGCCATCTCCTAATGGAACATCTCACCTCCTGCTGGTATCGCAGAGCAACACTGAGCACATCAAGGACCGTATTGAGGCTGTGCTGTATGCAGGTGTGGTTTAAAAATAAAAATTAAAAAAGAAAAAAAAATTATAAAAAAATTTACATACTCTCATGTGTGTTTGGTATTTGAGAACCACTACCCTCTAGTGGCTGGTCTGCACAGAAAACAGTTGCTGACTGGTGGAAAACAAGTGGTAAAATGTACCATCAGAAGGGTTAATTTTTTCCCCTTTTGTGTAGGAAAGATTTAAAAATAGCCTTTTGTACAGACTGATTCCAAATGAAGTATTTCAGTTGTTTGTATAGGCTGATCTTAGGAGAAATGTCTTCTAGGAGAGCTTACGTTTTCCCTGAGCTTCCAAACTGGTTTTTGCTTCTTGAATTTTCATTTTAAAAAAATGTGCCCATGACAGGTTGGTTTTTTTCTTTTGTTTCTTTAAGGATGGAAATCCAGTAGTCTTTCAGCATTAAATTCTTTCCTGCATTAAATCAGCCTTAATTTATGACTTGCATATGCTTTTCAAATGTGATTGGATTATTAGTATTTAAGAATCTAACATTGAAATTAAAGCTCAATAGATTTTGTTTTTAACTAAAACCACATAATTCTTATGTGGTGAGCAATTTCAATGAAGTGAGAGCAGTTTAGTGGAAGAAAACACTGATATAAAATTCACCTGATATAACTTAGATTTTATGTCCTTGCTCTTTTTCATGCAGTGGCTTCTATGGCTCTTTGTATCACTTACAAAAATTAGCAGGAAGCTTTAAGGAAAAAGGGTTGCTTAAGTGGCTTCAGAGTCTACGACCTGATTCTTAGTGGATATAAATTGGTATAGCATTAAGAGCAGCTGAACTTTACCATGTCATGGCAGTTGCACATTTGGTTGTGTTTTTCCCCCCTTATAATTGCAGCCTCTGAAATTCAGCCAGGAGTTAGCCCTAAGTGTTCCAGAAGTCTTAAGGTATATATACAGTGTAGTTTATATGCAGGTTTATGGGATTGAGTTAGCTGTTTGTGATCACTTACTCCTGGACGTTATTCTTATGGAAATTTTGTTGAGTTAATACTCCTGTTGGGTGAGGGCCACTTTACTGTTCGTTTTAAAGAAAGCGTAGTAGAAGTTGGATCGCTATATCAGCAAGTATTTTTGAGTAACCTACCTTTTACTGGACTCTAATCTATTGAACAATAAGGAAATTTGGGTTTGGTTAGGACTTTTTCAGAGATGTTTCATATGATGTTAGACTCTGAAAATCTTATGGCAGATTAAAACAGCCAGTGTGAAAGAAGGAAAAATGAAGGCAAGTCAGCTTTTGTCCTGAGGAGCAGTAGATAAAGGGAGGAAAAATCTAGCAATTAGAGAAGTGCTTTAGCTCTCCCTCTCCGGATTTTCTATGGAGAAAGAAGAATTCATCTGCCTAAAGGAAGTACAGTTTTGTGCCTAAATCCACTGTTTTGAGTCTGGTAGCACTAGAAATGTTGCTTTCAGCAGCCCATTAGATTCATTTTCTCTTCTGGGAGGTTTCCCTAAGCGTTTTCTTCAGAAACTGGGGTGAATCTTGCTTGCCACCAAGGTTCAGAGATGTGTCTTGCCTGCCCCATTCCCTCTTTACATTTAAGGGCAAGATGGGGAGGAGGGTTTCTGGGTTTGGGTAGGTTTTTGTGCTATGAGTAGCGTATCCGACATGTCTCAGCACGGCTCTTTCTGCCTTTCTGAGTCGGCAGGGGTTTGGGAACATCCCGTAGGCCTGTTTGGGATCGTTAGTTCCAGCATAAGATGGTTCTACAGCAGCTCTTCATCTTCCTAGGAAATGTGTTTTGTGGGGCATCTGTAGTTCTTACTTAGTGCTTTGAACAGAGGTGGTTTATTTGTGCAGCTGCGCTTGTGTCATACGGGGTGCATCTTTTCAGGAGCTACAAACCCTTTAGCTGTTCAGGCAACGAAAAAGAGCTGGTTTGTGAAAGTTATGGCCTGCAGTGAATTGCAGTGATGGTGGCAGAAGGTCCAACTGATTTAAAATTGGTAGGAACTGTCAAAGAGGAGGTTTCTTTGAATCCCTCGTGGGATTTGTCCTGTCTCACCTCAGCCCTGTTTCCCTGGAGAGCTGAAGGAGCAAGGTCCCCGCTGTCTGCCTCCCCTGTGCTCTGTTATGCCAGGTAGGCTCCAGAGGTGGAAGGAAGGCTGCCTTGTGGTAGGCGACCACCTCATGGTAGTTGTACAGCTCTGTTCACTTGCGGACCAAAAAATACCTGATAAGTGTGGTAGGGTACTATTTGTCCCCTTAATCAGCTGGGCAGAAAACAAAGCTCAAATTGACTAGACAGATTACTAGTAAAGGTGTTACAGAATGTAGCAGAACAAGGAGCTGGACCCAAATGTCCCACTTCCCCACTTCTTCTGCAAGTGTGGTCAGGCTTGGTATGACTTCTGCTTTCAGACACTATGGGAAAGCCAGTTTCACAGTATAAGCACTCTGCATTCCTAACGGAGTTGTGTTTATGATGGAGCTTGTTGCTTTTGTGTGAGGTAGCATTAGATAAGCAGCCTCCAAAAGTTAGGTGATGACTTTTAAAAGACTGCAATGATGTGAATTGTTAACTGGGGATCAGTAGCATGCCAAGAGTGTGCTAATTTTCCAAGGACTTAGCCTCAAACATGACTACGAAGCAATTGCTTATAAACCCATTCTGAAATTGCTCTGTTAACTCCAGTCTCTTACGTGTTTTAATAAATTGCTGTTCCTTTATCTCAAACATGGACTTAAGAGCTCAGTGGAATTACTACAGCCTCTTTCTGTGTCATCTGTGTCACTGCACATTCTGGTTCACAGCTGAAATAGTACAGATAGAGCAAATCAGGATTGAATTGTATTACCTGAGTTACTTAAGGAAGCTTGAATTATTTTGGACTGCAGCCAGAGCTTTTAGCCATGTGCTTTCCTAAATATCAATGTAAAATAATTATTTGTTTAAAAAAAAAAAGCGTGTGTGTGTGTATAAAGTGCCCTTATTCCCCCTTTACATTTAAGGACAAGATGGGGAGGAGGGTTTCTGGGTTTGGGTAGGTTTTTGTGCTGAGTAGTGTATCAGAAGGAAAAAGACCTTGTATGAAGGAGGCTTGTGTCTCTGTAAACCTCTTTTTTTTCTGTTTGGGGCTTACACAGGCAGCAGGGTGCCTACTTCCTAGGCTAAGACGCACTTTGACAGTCACAGGTCACTGTGGCATGGTACCCAGCTTTTGTGAAGCATTCCAGATTCACTCCTCGACAAGAGATATACACGGCTGTGTTTCTGCACACTAATTTATACACTTGCCCAGTTCCGAGTGTTTTGCTGCAGCCATTGCACTGTTGAGAAGCCGATAGCTCCTGTGGAAGAGCTCCTCTTTTGTGACTGCAGCTCCCTCAGTCTCAGTATTGACCTATTTCTTACCTTTTCTCTTTTGCTTACTCTTACTCCCTACTTACAATCTAAAACTTGTCCTGGGGATGTATTTTTCTTTATCTAGTCTGGTAAAGTAAATGATGATGGAGATAAAGGTATGGGTTTCCTAATGAGGAAGGAATGCAACATGTAAGAAATCGGATGTGTTTGGCAGTACCTGGACTTCTGATAGAGATGCAAGTGTGATACACAAAGCTAAGATGGCACTAAAGACTTTTATTCTTCAGTAGAGGGAACTGCTTTAGTTTCCAAAGTGAATTCTGCTTTTTTCTTTTGTGCATGAGGGCAGTGCTTGCGAGGCAAATTTGTTAGCCTGGATAGTATAACACTGGAAAACTTTAAAGAGTTGCAAGAAGGTACTACAAGGACTGCATGCCGAATTTAATAATTTTTTAAAAAATTAAGTGTTACTATACTGCTCCTACTGCAGCAATTTGACTGGCAGGAATCTTGAGGCAACCCATAGAAGAGGCCCCAGATGGGCACCTGTTATAAAATATTACTGTGACACAAAAAAGTTATCAGTATTTTACATTCTTTAGAAAAAGACCTAGCCTTTCCCCTTACGGCACTGGAGTATAATGAAGTTAAATAATAAGCACCTCGGACAAAGTTTATGGGTTTGTGTGGTCACATTCTTGTTGGCTATACCTGTCTGCAGTCTGAAATCTGCCTTTCATATGTGATTAAAGTGTGTATCCATGTACGTATGTATACCTATAAACCTATATGTAGACCCAGATGCAGGAGAAGGGGGATAAACAGCTTTTCACCAGCCTTGCTTCCCTGTCTAGTATCATCCTATAGTGACAAAGCATCTCATCCCTTTCTTAGATCTGGGATGATCAGTTACGGCCAGTTCTTTATTCACTGCTCATGGTCGCAAAACCAATGTACACAAAGATAGAAATTAATCTATTTTCTGGAGAACAGAGGAGAAATAGTGAGAAGGTCTAGTTAAAGTGCCCTTGACCCTCAAAACTTGCAATTAGACCACAGCAGGAAAAGAGACACCACATAATTCAAAATGAATCCTTTAGTATTTGATCATGAAGAATGGCATTGTCGCATTCCCAGTATGCCTTCAAAAGAAGTTTAGTGTAGACTTTTTTTCCATATACCAAATAGAAGCATTTATTTCCCTTCCCCATCTCCAGCTGATCCATTTAGACTCCGAGTGTTATTTACTTTTCAGTTTCCTGAATTTATTTTCTTCTGGTTTAGCAGAAGAGCTGGCAAAGTGCCACATTCATATTGATTTATTAAAAACGAAAAGAAAAAAGAAAATGCAATTGAGTATCCAGCTCTGCTGGAATTTATTTGTGGTGTCAGTGAACACTTCTTTGTTATAAGATCACAGGTTCTTTTAAGATAACACGCTTCAGTTATACATTTTTCTCTCCAGCAAAGAATTTTGTTTTCAAAGGGGATAGGAGAAATATTGGGATTGAGGACTGTGGAGAACATGATATACATTGTAAAAGGCCTGTGAAACAAATTAATTAGACTGACTGTGGGTAGAGTTGTTTTTCCTCAGAATGTCTGATCATGGGGCTTGCTGTGTATTTTCTGTGAAGTACTCATCACTTTGCAAGTTCAGGTCCAAATTTCTGCTATGAAATTTTTCAAAGATCTAGAATACCTGCTGCTGAACAAGAGGAGCATCTGCAAACAGGTGTATTCTTTCATTTTTCTCCCTATTATCTGTGCTCTTTCTATTCCTGAGCCATGGCTGCTCCTACATTTTTCTCTTTATAGTCTGTTGCCGTGTAATACTGTTTGTGTCTGAGATGCTGCCTTGCTTGACCTTTCGTTTGCCTTCATCATCCTCTGTGCCCAGTAATGGGCATTCCATGCCCTGGGGCTTCCCCAGTCCCATCTGTTTAAAGTCCCTGTTACCTACACTGCGTTACTTCCATTGTGAGGAAGCGTGGCCAAATCTTCATAATGCAGTTCTCTCTAAAGAGAAAAAGCAAAAGCTTTCCTTTTGCTTCACTTGAGTTCCCCATGTGTGAGCCTGGTTCTCTGCAGCTCCTGTCACTGGAGTGGACTGCCGGTATTTCTCCATCTCATTGATTCTCCATCTCAATTGGAAATCTTGCTTGGGGAGGAAAAAAGAAATTCTTCTTCAAGTTACGGAGTTCTGTTGTCGGGAGCAGTAAAGTACTTGTGGTGGGATTCATGTATCAGAGCCTGGCTGATAACAATGCTGTACTGAAATAAGTCTTTCGATGCTAACATCTGTTCTCAGTTTTGGTTTTCTTTGCCCTCTTGTTTAGAATTTGGAATGGTTTCCCTGATATTTTCCGCAGCGTTGGCCTACTTCCCCTCGCGACCTCCATTCCCTCCCAGCGTGGCTGCAGCGAGTCAACGGCTCAGCTACAGGAGAAGTTTTTGCAGACTCTTAAGGTAGGTCCTCACTGGGTTTCCACTTCAAAGCAGATCAGCACCTAAATAAATAAAAAAGTGTGCTTTAATCTTCTCATTGAACAAACAAGATGGTTTGTAGTGCTTTTAAACAAAATCAAATTAAATATTAATGCTGAGCCATAAAAGGATCTAACTGCTAAAAAGCAGACGTTAAATTTTAAATCATGGGGTATATCTCAAGCCTTCATGCCAGAGTCCTTCAGAACCAATGCTGCTTTAGTCATCCTGTTAGCATGGCTTTTCTTATGCGATGCTTGTGTTCCATCAGGTTATACAAGACTGTTAACAGTGTGCGTACTGCTAGGTGTGAGATAACAATTAACAACACTGGGCATAACTAGTAAGCTGCTTTCTTCCATGCTCCATTATATTGGAATGCATTTGGGGTTTGCCTGTCATTCAAAGGAGTATCCAGCTGCTTTCATTCAGCTGTGGGAGCAATGAATGAACTATCTGAAACCATCATATGATCTATTAAATCTCATTAATTGTATGTTAAAATATGAAGTAGGGATAGGAGAAGTGTCTCCAGATGTGTTTCTGGACAGGTTCAAAGGTGAGTTAGTTTCCTTTAAATTTTGGGTTAAAAAAAAAAAGGTTATAAAGAAAGTAACATCTCCAACTTTGCAACTTCTCCCACTTGCGCTCTTTTGGTAAGATGCAGTCCCATCCCCTGGTGTTTGTACAATGTCTTGTGTAATGAGAATCTGATCTCAGAGGAACAGCTAAAGCAACTGTAATATTAATGGTGAATAATTGTAAAGGCCTGTGCCCTGTATGCAATACTGCACAGATGAACTTTCTGGGGCAAAGAAGAACCGCTCCCATGGTGCGGAGTATGGCTGACTTCACTGGAGAGCTTCAGACTCTTGCTGTAATTGTTTCTTGGGTGATGTAGTGATAGGAGCTGAATCTGCGTACAGAGGGCTGCTTGAAACTTGATAATTATGGAGCTTTAGGCATTTAGTTATTACAGACCTATTGTGGGCTGTACTTTCTAGAAGTGTATTTAGAGCCAGCAAAAACAACTCATCCCTTGTCATCTTTTTTTTTTTCTTTTGTTTTTGGAGGCTTTTGTTTCAGTTTGGGGGATTAAATAGTTGACAAGATGCTTCATCCTGTGTGTTCATCCTGGAGCAGGCTGGCAGTAGGGAGAAGGTGTGAGTACAGCTGTCTGGTTAGTCAACAAAGTGACCTACTCAGGATATTAAACAATAGCAATTCCCATAAGGACACTTAGCACACACAATAATGCTGTTATACACCCAAGCTCGTGTGCAGTGAGACCCTGCCTGAGGGCTATGTTATAAAAATGTCGCTGTTGAACAGAAATCCAAACAGCAACTGACTCTGCAGGTGAAATATAAAATTTCTGTTGACAGTATTCCATTTGGGAGCTTTATAACCATGAGATTGCATGTTCGAAGTGTTGTAAACAGTGGACCTGAGATACTGGTAAGGTCAGGAGGTAAACAGCAAAGTTGGCTTACTATTCACGATCAATGAAACTTAAGAAAACAAACTGGATGCTTAAACAATGAGCATAGTTTATAGTGTCTCCAAGAAGCAAGACGTTTTTTAAAATGCGGTCAGGTAGATCATTATATCTCCCTTCCCTCTGGTCTTTATGCATTCTTCCATGCTACCCCTTATCAAAGGCACTTCTTCATTCCTTTGTACATGAAACAATCAACAGTTCATCATTAAACCCACTTATCTTAGGGAGCCTTTCAGCAACAATCCATCAAGCAAGGGGGTTTTATAAAATAAAATGGTATCTGCCATGCTTCAAGAGGAATCCATCAGCTGGTTCGTTAGGCTTCTAAGCTCTGTTGCCTGCCTAATCTACGCTTCATAATTCTTAGCACAGAATGTCTTTCTTTTGACTTAATGGTGTAGACTGAAGGTAATGAGCTGATGAGTACCAGGAAATCAAGATTTCCCCTTTATTGCAGACTTACCTTCTGATAGGAGAACTGTGTGTAAGGCATTTAGGATGTGTGTGAGCTGGTGGGCTGACCCAACTATGCACCAAAAAACACTCATGAGAATTGAGATGTTCATCATTTCCCTCTTCTCTCCCCCAGGCTGCGGTTTTATTACTTCAAAATAAACCTGCGTAGCATAACTTTACCATTGAAGTCATTGACCTTTTTCCTTGGACACCAAAGGGATCTATCACATCCTTGCAACTAGCACACTCCTTCATGCCTTCAGGTCCTTGAGCAGTTGTCTTCATGAGCTGCTTCTTGCAGAGTTGTATGATAAATATCTTCTTAGGGTCAACCATCCCCTGTAGGCTGTTTTTTTGGGAATTGCTTAGGAACTTGGTTCTTCCTCCTGATTTGGAGGATTCCTGCTTCTGGCAGATTATAATGATTAGCTGATCTCTGGTTATCTCCTGATACCAACTCTCTCTGCCTGCAGTGGGAGACAACAGATTAGTCATGGTTTGGGAGCTAAGCCCAAATCTTTTAACAGTCTATCACACGCTGTGACAGGTGTAGTTTGAATTTCCATTAGAAGCATGGTGCCCTTTCTCAGTTTCTTGGGTGAAGCAAATACGACTCTTTTTTTTCCCTCCTATTTCAGAATATGCCACAAATTTCCATGGAAAAAATTCTAATGCAAGTAAATAATCAATAAGATAAAATCATTAAGAAAGCATGTCGTGATTTTTGCTTTGAAGTAATGAGATGCTTTTAGCCCGTTACATGCCTTTTATGTTTTCAAGGTAAGCAATTTTGAAATTTCGTAGTAGGGTTTTTGTTCATCATTATTTCTTTCATGAAACTTTCATATGACATCACCATCCAGTGATGGAAGCTGCTCAGAGCGTGCCTGATGTTAATAGGTGCTGTCAAATTTATTCTGAAAATGGTGACTGACTTTGACAGGGCTCCCCTCTGAACCAGCCTGTCTCATGGATACTAGTGGCATTAAGTAGGTTTCTGAAAAAACAGAAGAAAAAGCCAATTCATATTCCAGCAGAATGGTTTAACAGAGAGGCTAATGCTGATATCCTGTCATAAGGGCTGATACAATGGAAAACAGTGTGGGTACACCAACTGATGGTGTGACAGACAGCACATTTTTTCTATTTTCAGTGGAGCAATTGCAAAATTGCAAAAACAAATACAAGTGACTGGAACCAAAAAGCGGAGCTGCTACTTAAGATGTATGTTTCGAATAGCTTTAGCACTTAATGTAGCCAGCACCAGCTATTGCTGGGCAGGGGGACAGAATGCCATCTGGTGATCGGTGCCGCTTTGTCACTGCCATGCACCCTTTCTCCTGGTCACCTTCTTTAACCTGGAGACTAGGCAGGGTGGCAGCCTGGGAGCCCCTGTCACTGGAGGGTGTCATCATGCAGAGCTGGTTCTCTAGTATTGGGACTAGGAGTTGCACGTCGCACAGAGCAGCTATCCCACTTGTCACTCTGTCTCATGGCTTGACTTACAGAAGACAAATCCATCACAGGAGATCTTGGTCAAGTAAGTTACAAAGTACTCACTCCCGCCAAAAGCAGCTCTTTAATGAAGACGAGGTTCAGATACCCAAAGATTTTGAATACTGAACAAGTGTTATTTTGGAACAGCGCATTCAGACTTGTTTCCTCTTTGCAATCTACGACATGGCTATATAATGTCCGTGCAAAATGGGCATTTTCCCTTTTATTTAATTCTACAGATATTGGAATAGCTTTTACATGGATAGTATTAAATAGTGTCAGAAAACCTGCCTTAAGAGATTCCAAGATGATTCAAGATAGACTAGGATAAGAGTATGGCATTCTTAAGAGAGAAAAAAGTTGTCAGGAAGACAGCAAACACTTTAGCATTCAGAGAAATACAAGCAGTGTGTGGAAGAGCTGAAAGTTTGGAAGTTGTTTTTCTTTGCATTAAAAAATAAATCTGACATGGTTGATGTTGAAAGAGGAGGATATGTTCATGTGATAGAAATGTGTTATTCAAGAAGAGGATGTGTGGAAAAGAACAGTGCAAAAAAACGCTGGCTTGTGTGCTGTACATGGATCTTCTAGGGGAGTAAAACAGCATAAGCTGCAAACC